ACATTTAAAGAGAGGGCAGTTTGAATTTGCTGCATTGCATCTCTCACAGTGCCCAGCATATGAAGTGCCTTGTATATTAGTTCAAACCTTTATTATATTAGTAAAAAACATATTTACTAATTGATTGAGGGTAGTGGGCACTTAATGCTTACTGAACCAAATATTTTGTATATAAGTTTTTTGAGAAACAGGTGCATTTTTTCTGTGACTGTAGATGTAGCTGAAAAAACAAATCAGTTACTTAAAATCCTTCGTTAGGCCGGGCGCGGTGGCTCACACCTGTAATCTTAGCACTCTGGGAGGCCGAGGCAGGCGGATTGCTCAAGGTCAGGAGTTCAAAACCAGCCTGAGCAAGAGCAAGACCCTGTCTCTACTATAAATAGAAAGAAATTAATTGGCCAGTTAATATATATAGAAAAAATTAGCCGGGCATGGTGGCGCATGCCTGTAGTCCCAGCTACTCGGGAGGCTGAGGCAATAGGATCACTTGAGCCCAGGAGTTTGAGGTTGCTGTGAGCTAGGCTGACGCCATGGCACTCACTCTAGCCTGGGCAGCAAAGCGAGACTCTGTCTCAAAAAAAAAAAAAAATCATCGTTAATTGCCTATAACACCTAGGAGAAGACTGTAAATCATTCCATGGCACATAGGGCCCTCCTTGTTTGACTCTGGGTCCTCAAGTCTGGTCCCCCCAAAAGACATCTGGGCTTTTGATTGTACACCTGCTGGTTGCCCTGGCTGTCTGACTTTTCCTCATCCATATTGGGCAAGTCCAATGTACCTTCAACAGGCTCCCCAACACTTCCTCTTTTAAGAGCAGAGATTGTATTTTCCATCTCTATATTTATGAACCAGCAGCTGTTCATTTACAATGGGTCATCAGTAAACGTCTATTGAGTCAAACGAATGTGTACTTATCACTGGAAATTCTCTACATCATACTATGTTTATAATTTGCCTGATATTTGAAAAATGCAAATATGTTTGTCATTTGGGATTACTTAAAATATCTGACCCTTCAAAAGGAGCTAGCTATAACATTTTGGGGGAGTAATGCTTCTTGAAACATACACCCTTTGAGGGCCTATGAAGCTTCTATGACTCCAGCTCTATCACACTAGCATTGGAATAAAGAAACATTAGTAAAAGGGCCTTGCAGTTGGCAAAGTGGTGATTCATTTAGATGGAGTCACCATGTTTTAAACTCTTTTTTTTTTCTTTCTTACATCAATACTACAAGGAAATAAACTTTTTCTTACTGTGCAATAAAGAAAAGTGCCTAGAGTGGTCCTATGTCTGAGTGCATCCCCCAAATGGCTAGTGGAGTAACAGGATTTTGTTACAAGCTGATGGGTTACCCGTTTGAGCAGGCAGTTTTTTTCAACTTCAATGACCTCACTGTATAGGCATTATGATTGAGATTATTATTTCCTGCAATTGTTTTCTAAAGAATTATTTTTAAAATTCAGGTTACACATTGATGTAATTTGTGCTTAAGTGTACGGTAAATTAGCCAAAACCACAACAAGATAACAATAAAAAAATTGCACAGGAAACCTAGTACCTTGTAACTAAGAATAAAAAAAGAATTCATTGTTTGTAAGATCTGATTTAATTTAGTTAACATTTTTCTTTTTTTTTTTTTTTAATTTTTTATTTTTTTTGAGACAGAGTCTCACTTTGTTGCCCAGGCTAGAGTGAGTGCCATGGCGTCAGCCTAGCTCACAGCAACCTCAAACTCCTGGGCTCAAGCATTCCTTCTGCCTCAGCCTCCCAAGCAGCTGGCACTATAGGCATGCGCCATCATGCCCAGCTAATTTTTTCTATATATTAGTTGGCCAATTAATTTCTTTCTATTTATAGTAGAGACAGGGTCTCACTCTTGCTCAGGCTGGTTTTGAACTCCTGACCTTGAGCAATCTGCCTGCCTCAGCCTCCCAGAGTGCTAGGATTACAGGCGTGAGCCACTCCACCTGGCCAAATTTATTTTTCTTTAGCATAATCTTCTTGGTTAAAACAGTTTTTACCTGAAGGAAAGAAGGTAGATGATCTTTTCAATATAAGTATTTTCTGATAAGTTCCTAAGAAAACTTTAGGAAGAAATTATAGCAGTTTATTATAAATTAAGTTGGTCTGAAATTGTGTCATTCACACAGAGATTGTAATGTTCTCTTTGATGCTAGGTCAACATGTTCAGTACTTAGCAGAAAAAAAAGAAGTGAATGGTTAAAGTGATATTAGTCCGTTTGTCCTGGAATACAAAGAATGGTGGGGACAGATGGATGTAAACAAACCTAATTCAGTATAAAGGTAGCAGTAAAAGAAGGGCAAAAGTAAAAGATAATTTGTTTTTAGCCAAAAAGAATTTGAAGTTAAATTTATTATATGTAGTAACTATGAGATTTTTTTAACCAGATTTTCTTTCACCCAAGTAATAATTATTGCTGAGGAAAGCAGTGTTTTGAGCTGAGGACAGTGCTACCCATACAAAAGTGTATAAAACATACTGCCATACCTTGAAGGCTTCTTAAAGCTGGGGAGGTAAGAGTTATAAGATGGAAAAAGCTCCATGGAATAAATAATAGCTAACATTTGTTTAGCACTCAAAGATATAAAATATTTTTACATACTTTTGTAAGATTAACCATACATTTCTAGATTTCATTCTTCTATTAGAATTTCCTTTGGCTTTGTCTTTGGAAGACAGCATTAAATTTCGGACCGTGAGTACTTCTTAGGTTTACTTCAATTTTTCTAAGCTTTCTTATGGGTTCTATTATGGAGACAATACAGATTCTGGAATTTGTAGGGCAGAACTGACTGCAAATATTTTATCATGTTGTCAGATTGTGTGACGTGACTTCTGGTTAAGAAAATATGGTCACCTTATCTACCTGTGGCCTCCATTTCCTTATCATTTAGTGGATAAAAACTTTAATCTGAATTTTGTTACATAGATTCTGAATATATAATTATATATATTATATATTCTATTATATATATTCTGAAATTATACTTTCAAAGGTGACCTTACTGTCAAATCTAATGGTCTTTTTACCCCTTTGGTTTGTTCTCCTTAACCTTTCTTCAGTTCTATTCATGGGCTTTTTTTCTATAAATATTGAGATTGTAGGTCTCTTCAAATAGCTTATATTTTTCTTTGTCTCTTTTCATGAATTCTCTTTTGCCTCTTGCCAGGCTCATTCTTCCAAATCTTAAAATGGTCTACTTTCTTATGAACTGCTTGAGCCACACAGAATTCTTAAAGGATCAGGAATATTGCTTGCATATCCCCCTCCAGTCCTTACTTCTAGGACTCCTCCAGACTGAATTATTGCCTTTCTTCCAAGCTGTAGTTCAACTCATACCTTCTCCCTGTAGCTTGCTTGCCCATAGCAATTAATTTTCCTTTACATTCTCAAGCATTTGATCCCTACTAGCTCATACTGTTAACTTTGTGCTCACATCTCACCTCCTAGTTAAAAGGTAAACTCCTTGAGGATAAGGGCTGTACTTTAGCTTTTTTTTTGGTTTGCTTGGCAGGGGACAATGAATGTAATACTCAATAAATATTTGTTGACTGCAAAAAGGCACTATATGTTCCAGGATTTCAATATAACACAGCCAACATTTTGTCTAGGTGAGCATATTACAATTTTTTTCTTTTTCTCTCTTTGACAATTATTGTTATAAAATTACCACATGCTTCCTTTTTAGAAGTAATGAAATAATTAAAAAATGATAAAAACAGGCCTATGGGAGATAGTGGGAATGAATATATACAAGGTTACTACTAAGTGCCAGACACTGCTCCGCACAGTAAGATTTCTTTCAACAAACTCAAGAAACTGAAGTTCAGCAAGGTTAACTTATCCAAGGTCCCACAAAAAGTAAATGGCTGTGCTGAATTTCAGAAACTCTGACCGGCCTGGTTCCAAAGGATAAGGAAGGCAGTTTTAGTCTTTGATGATTGTGACAATTAAATGACATAATTTCTTGAAAAAGCAGGAGGCACAATATTTGGCGGTCAACAAATGTTGCTCACACACATAACTGCGTCTACTTAAACAGCAGGTGGGGGAAAAGCTGGCTGCATTAATTACACTTGTTTCTAACTCTAAGGTTCATGTTTGACTGCAATAATCCTATGCCCCCTTTCATTACGGACGCTAGAAAAAAAAATGCCTGGCAACATTTCAATCACTGATTGAAAATTATACTTTCAACAGAGAAAAGGGATTTAGAAAGTTGTCTTCAGCTGAAAGAGACGAAAGAGAGCCCACTAATTTCTTCCTGTAGGACAATTTTTTGACGTCTAGGGTTTTGTCCCCGACGAAGAACAAATGCTTCGGATCCATAAGGAACTTCGCAAAGCAAACTGAGGGGTCCCGGCAGCAGCTGGGCCTCCCTTGAAGGTCGAAATCAAGCACGCTGGCTCTCCTTCCAGTCGCCTCCCCTCTTTCAGGTCCTCCGGAGGGAGGCTCGGTCTCTGAGGAAAGTTAACACCGTGTCGCCACCGCGGACAGTGGGACAACCCAAAGCTCACTTTGGCTACGAGCAGAAACCTTTTGTATTCATCTGAGGCGACAAACACCAGACAAAACGCCAGACCCAGCTGTTCCGAGACTCCGGGGGGGGTAGGTGAGCCACAGTTCCTCCGGATTCCTTCCTCAACCGCTCGCTGCACCTGGACGCGGGCGGCGCACGACCCCCCGGCCGTGACGTCACCGCACCTGGCACCAGCAGGGGGGTCGCGGGAGAGTGCCCGAACGCGGCGGGGGCGGGGCAGGGAGAACGAGGCCGTTCTCGCGAGATTTGCCTCCTCCCGGGGCCCAGCTCCCCGCACCTCCACGGCCTCAGTCCGGGTCTCCACCTCACGAGTGTGGCGTCGCGTCCTGGAACCGTGGGCGCTGAGGGAGCGGCAAGGGGCGGGCTTCGAGGCTGGGCGGGCGCTCGGGGTTAGAGCCGAGAGCCAGTGTGAACCGGCAGTTCCCACCCCCCTCTGCGGGAGCGGCGAGGGGGTGGGAAAGCCGCCGTCTGGGCGGGCGGGGAGGGCCCTCCCGCCGCCGTGGCTTCGGCGGAGGCCGGGCGTGAGGAGCTTGCCGCCGCCTCTGCCTCGCGGGCCGCGCTGAGGGGACTGGCCGGAGAGCGCCGCGGGCGGATGGAGGCGCCTCCTCGCCCTGTCTGAGCTCAGGAGGGGCGAGAGCGGAGTGCGGGGCCCGCCTCCTGCCGCAGGAGCGGCCGCGCGAGCCACAGGAGGAGCGGCGGACGTCGGCTTCTCCTCGCGGAAGCCCCCAGCATGGGTAAGGGGCTCGGGGGGCGCTGCCCGCCGCCCGTCCCGACCCTCCTGACTCGGGGAGCCGGTTCCCCTGCTCGGCCCCGGTGGGGGGCGACGGGGGTCAGCCCCTGCGCGGCAGCACCCCACCCTCGCCGCCCTCCCCTCCGTCCCTCCTCGCCTTGCCTTCCACCTCGTTCTTCTCGCGGAGAAATTGGTCAGAGGGTCCGCCGGCGCTTCCTCTCCCGCTCCTTTCTCCGCCTCTTGTCCTGTTCACCGCAAAGGTGCGGGGATGGGGGGGGGGTGGGGACGGCCGGCCACCTTCCCTCGCCTGTTGCCCGGCTGAAATCGGTGCGGATCCTCCTTTCCTTCCCCAGCCCCTTCCCTCCGTCCCTCCCCGCTTCTCGTCGAGTGGGGGAGGGTGACCGAAAAACTTGACACAGTAGCACTTTCAACTTCTTTATTTTCTGCGAAGCTTTGTATACATTGGGTTTTTAAGGAGATATGGGTATTTCATAGGTGTACACACACACACATTTGGAGGGGGTCAGAGAAGGCATTTTTTTTCCCCTCTGCTGAAATTCGAAAGGGATGCCACAAGGACAGGGAAACTTAAGTATATTTACTCCGGTCCTACCTAGGCTAGTGTGTGGGCACTTAAACATTCAGTCTCCTTGCTCAGGACTGGGTTGGGGTTTGATAGGATTTCAGCGTTGAACACACTTTTGAGGAGCAGTTTCCTGTTTAGAGTTAGACTTCCTTGCTAGAGGAGAGAAAAGTACAAGGCCTTATATGTTATTTTACTGTGTGTTTTAAAGTTTTGTTTGGAGTTAGAGAAGGCAGAATGTGTCGCAGCCTGGTTTGAAAAGAAGTTTTGTTACGTGGTGTAACAATTGTTTTGATAATGAAGTTCAGTGCGGGCTAGGCTCTTAACTCCCTCAATCCTTTTAAAAATTAAAAGCTAAGAACTTAGACTAGCTTCTTTTTTTTTTTTTTTTCTTAAATCAAATTTGTGCCACCATAAGGTAGAGCGTGTTCTGTAAGAGTAAACCCAAGTTTATTTTGTAAAGTAAATCAGGAGGACCCTGTCACTCTTTGCAGTTGAGAGTTGGTACTGCTTCCTATCAACAGACCATTTATTTACCGAAATTAATAATTCATGAAACTAGCAAATGATTTAGAAGCAGGACAAATACAGAGTACTGCTGATGTGGCACCCTCTGCCCACACTTTGTTTTGTGGGGGATGCTGTGAGCATAGTGATTATAGACCTTTGCCTAGCTATTCTGTTTTCTTGGACTTTCTGATTTTGTTTCTTCCCACCTCCATCTTGCTTTCAGGTAACTTTTATACACAAAGTGCTCTTAAACTTGGAAACAGTGAAATAAAATATTTGCTATTTGGAACTTTCAAATGAATTCCTTTCTAATTGATTAGTTGAGCTTGCAAGGTAATTGTGAGCGTATTCCTTTAAGCATCAAATTATAAAATCACTTTAACTGCTTTGGATGAAAATAACATTAAAATATGTAGTTCTTTTCTGTCTTAAATAGGATGCAGAATATAATGAAACTTATTTAGATGACCTAGGGTCATTCGTTTGTGATCATCAGTTACTGTAATGCCCTGAGGAATTTGGATAGCCTATAGGGATGTTCATCTAAATGCTAAACATTCATTTTCATTTTGAAATTATTTAAAATAAGTACTTTTTTTTCCTGCTTTACTATTGGTTGTGCTTGTAACTGTGATAAGCGTCCACCTTCCCCCTCCCGTTCCTCATTTTTCTGGAAGTATGGAAATCATATCACATTTGTGATTCTGCATAGTGGTAAAACCAGGCCCCTACTTAGTGTATCAGGCTATCTCGGATAAAAGTAAATGAATACCAATACTTGGATATTGGAATACCTATTTTGATTGTCCAGAGGCATTTTCTTTGTGACTTGTGTTCAGGTTATTTGAGTTGCCATATAGTCTTGGTAAATTTCAACTTGACTACTCAGAATATGTTTCAAAGATATATTACTTGGGGCATTTGCTGTTTTTTTTTTTGAGACAGAGTCTCGCTTTGTTGCCCAGTCAAGAGCCTAGCTCACAGCAACCTCAAACTCCTGGGCTCAAGCAATCCTCTTGCCTCAGCCTCCTGAGTAGCTGGGACTACAGGCATGTGCCACCATGCCCGGCTAATTTTTTCTATATACAATTTCTTTCTATTTATAGTAGAGATGGGGTCTCTTGCTCAGGCTGGTTGCGAACTCCTGACCTTGAGCGATCCTCCCACATGGGCCGCCCAGAGTGCTAGGATTACAGGCGTGAGCAACCACTCCAGCTATTTGCTGTTAATTTTTGAAAAGTGTGAAAATTTCTCAGTGAATGTATACTTTAAATATTGGCCATGTAATAAAATTCTCAAGTTCGTTTAAATGGAGTTTCCTCTTTAACATAAATCGCATTTGCTTGGTTTTGTGGTCAGCTGTCTTTATTGTTTATGATTTAAGATGTAACCTAAAATATTTACATGATATTTTATCTAATTTGCCATAAAATGAAAAAATCTTAAATTTCTTGGAGATAACTTGAGTATCTGTTAAGTGATGGTTCTTACATTTAGGAGGTACAGCTGGAGAGTTAAGAGCATTGACTTTGGATGGGTCTTCTACCTGAGGTCAAATCCTGGCTCTTCCACCTACCAGTTGTGTGACTGAGCAAATTATTTAACTTCTTTGTGCTTTAGTTCTGATCTTAAGGAATAAAAGTGTCAACCTCATAGGTTGTTAGGAGGATTGAATGAGTTAATACCTAGAACATTGCCAGTGCTGGTGGTTGTTATTTTCAAGTGATTTCCCTAATTTTTGTGCCAACTCAGAAAAAACCAATTTTCAATTATTGATGTTTGTTAGAAGTAAGATACTGTCTTTGAAGGACCAGTGGGATGAGATGATTTGGTATGGATGCAGTAATTGCATTTTATGTAACTTTGCAGAAATATGTAGATACTTTTTTCAATATTGGGTGTACTGTGAGATAGCCCATCTAATTGCTTAGGAAAAACTTTTAAGTGGGATGAATACTAGTGGAGACTTATTTGAATTTTATGTTAAACTGATGTTTTAGTGTTCACATTTGTTAAATGTGGAAGGATGCCTATCAAGGAATTTTCTTTTTTTTTTTTTTTTGACACAGTCTCACTCTGTTGCCCAGGCTAGAGCGCTGTGGCGTCAGCCTAGCTCACAGCAACCCGTCAAACTCCTGGGCTAACGAGTCCTTCTGCCTCAGCCTCCCGAGTGCTGGGACTACAGGCATGCCCAGCCAGCGGCTAGTTTTTTAAATTATAATATATATATATCAGTTGGCCAATTAATTTCTTTCTATTTATAGTAGAGACGGGGTCTCGCTCTTGCTCAGGCTGGTTTTGAACTTCTGACCTTGAGCAGTCCACCCGCCTTGGCCTCCCAGAGAGCTAGGATTACAGGCGTGAGCCACCGCGCTGGCCCATCAAGGAATTTTGAGGCATGTACTGTGTGCGAGAATTTAAGCTTTAGGGAGATAGGCATTACTTGTTTTTCTTATTCTAAAAATATAGATTGTCATTTTGGAGCAGAATAAGACAAAAAACAAATGGCATAAAGTGTTACTATGTGTGAAGTCTTATTTTTGAAAGAGGAAATAGATTTTAAGGGCAGAATAATTTAGTTTATATTTTATTTCATTTTATTTTATTTTTTTGATTACAAATTGTGAAAGGTTTACATTTATTTTATAAGCTCACATATATAAAATGTCAATATGAGGTTTTGTTAATAGAAATTTGCAATTGATTTAGATGATATGTGTGCACTTCTATAATATTGTGATTTATTTTACTTTGTTGCACTGTTTGGAGAAAATCTTGATTCATAAGTAGTTGCAAATAGAAATTGCCTGCTAATGGCTTATCTTTTAGTCTCAGGACTAATCCTGAGCATGAAAAAAGAATATTAGGAAATTTTTGTTTCAAAGTTGAAATCACTGGAAAAATCTAATAATTCTCTTCCCTTATTAGTAAGCACTCATGATGAGATATATTTTTAAGTATTTCAAACCTTGACTAGTTTAAATTCCATAAAATCACATTAATGGTGAAAATTTACATTGCTAATATTTTATATTTTCCTATAGAAATGAACCTGAAGTTTGCCATTTCTCTCTAAATGAAGGGTTTACAAAGTAAAATGGTGTCACGTTAACTAAAATCTGACTTTTTTAAAGCATTTAAGATGAAGTTATAAAACATGAAGTGTTTTTGGTTCATGTTATATTGCTTACCAATTTTATTTGTAAAGTTAAAGCGAATAAATTTTTATTTATACATTATATAAACCTGTGATTTTCTTCCCTTCTCAGTCAAGGAATATCTTCTATTAATAAATGTAAAAACAGCTTATTGTTTTGAGTGATAAAAATGCTAATTTTCTAATGTATATAAAGAAGTGGTGTCATTGTATCAAGGGCTTGAAGATGGGGAAAGAGGTGTAATGATTCTTGATTTCGGTAAGAATAGGGCAGAGAGCTGCAGACCTGTTTCCTAGGTAAACTGGTGAAGCAAGTTGTGAAAGATCTAAAAGTTTTCAGAGTTTACATTCAGAAAAAAAGGGCAAATAAAACCTAATGTGATGCGATTGAAATTTAGGTAAATTAGGTAATCATTGTGGTGGAGCTGAGACTTGCTTAGTTGTAGGATTTGATACCTGACTTCTGTACAAATTGAACATACTCAGGATTTAGGGACCAAATTATCTCAGCAGTCAGGCAGTAGTAAGTCTTTGTGAATGAGGTGGGGTGGGCAGAACACTAGTCTGGGAAAATCAGGGTAGGGGTCCATATATGCCTGTAGTCAGCCTGGCAGTGTCGGAGTTATGTGTAGCAAAGTGCAGTCTGTAGACTGATAGGTGTGGAGCAGGCCAGTTTGGTGTGAGGGTGGGATGGTGGTTGGTAGAGGTATGAGGTAGAGGGTCAGACAGGCATTCTGGGGGCAAAGGGAGAAAA